CAAGACAGTCTCCGACCTATTCTCTGCTTGGGGTGAGCCACTGATTGACCTCTTTGCCATTCACCTCAACAGCCACTGCACTTGGTTCTGTTCTCAGATTCGATTACCAGGCTCCCAAGGAGATGCCTTCCTGCTCGATTGGTCAGGAAACATGAGATCACTTTCCTCCTGAGGGTGGTGTCTGCCTTTCACATCAACCAGGACATTGTGTTGCCCACCCTGGCCCCAAACCCGATAGATGCCAAGCACCTCTATCACACTCCCGATGTTTGAAGGGCACTGGCATTCTACTTGGACAGGACTTCAGGTTCAAGATGCTCCGAGAGGTTATTTGTGTGCTACTTGGAAGCTAAAAAAAACAACTACCTGTGCATGCTGGTCAAGGACCGAATAAATAAATTGAATTGAACAACTACCTGTGACTACTCAGAGATTCTCTAAATGGGTGGCTAGTACCATCCACTTGTGTTAAAAACTGTTGGGTAGAACCTTCCAGCCAGGGTGCGAGCACACTCAACTAGAGTGGTAGCTGCATCCTCCGCTTGTTTGACAGAGGTGCCTCTGGTCTGGAGGATGTTTGCAGAGCTGCTGTCTGATCCCAGCCGTTGACTTTCATCAAACACTACAGGTTAGACACAAGAACCAGACAGGACACAACCTTTGGGAGGACAGTGTTGCTTTCTGATTTGCACTGAATGTTGATTGCATTGCATGTTTTCTATGTCTTTGAAACCAAAGAAATGACACTGACGAATGCACTTTCAAAGTTTAAAGCTTTATTGTTGTTAATAAATTACAACTTGTTTGAACTTTTGAATTTGTGTCATGACACTCCCTCCTCCACTGATAGAAGCTTGTCAGCCTAACCCATTTGTGTGATTTGCCGAGACCGTGAAGGACAGGTAATACTGTAACAGTATTTTGAGTCATCTGCAAATTCACACAAATCCAGCCCATCCTGCCCTCAGTCCTATCCTGCTCACTGATCAATATCCTTTCTATCACTGCTGTGTGATGTACTTTATGGAATTCAGAAAAGAGTGGTAATGCTAGGAGCTTTCTAAGTGTGGGCGGAGCTACTGCCAAAAAGTTGCAAACAAAAGTTTTGCCTAGTGCATTGGTTCTCAACCTTTCTAATGCCGTGACCCCGCAGTACAGTTCCTCAT